TCTGTGTCTGTGTTAATTGGTTTCCCTTTTCTTTGTTGAAGAGGGTCTGTGCAATCCTTCTGCCTAGTCCGCCATCTTGCCCCGCCTCCGGTCTCTATACTTTTGCCTCACCTTTTTATCTAAGTGAGGTCATATAGTATTTGTCCTTTTATAGTTGACGTGTTTCACTCAGCATAGTCTTTCAAGTTCCATTCATGTACATGTATCAGGACTTCATGTCTCTTTCTGGATGATTAGTATTCTATTGTTTATTACATTTAACTACTTTTTGTTTATCCATTCCTCTGTTGATGGGCATTTAGGTCATTTACACCTTTTGACTATTATGCAGCAGTGAACATTAGTTTACATATCTAGTTGCATCACTGCTTTAACAATGGATTATCTAATAACAAAAACATGAATAACAAAATAATAAATGAATGAATGAATTGTTGTTTGTTGTTGTCGTTATGTACCGTCGAGTCGGACCCGACTCATAGCGACCCCTCCTTGGGTTTCCGAGGCAGTATCACTACAGAAGTAGATTGCCCCATCTTCCTTCCGAGGAGTGGCTGGTGGGTTTGAACCACCAGCCTTCTGGTTAGCAGTCAAGTGCCTTAGCCACTATGCTACCAGAGCTCCCGAATGAATGAATGAATGGGACCTCATAAAAATTAAATGCTTTTGTTCATCAAAAGATTACCTAAAAAGTGAAAAGATATGCTACTGATTGGGAGAATATCTTTGTAAACCATATATCCAATAAGCTAATAACCAAATTATATACATAAAAACTTTGACAACAACAAAAAGACAAATAACCCAATTATAAAATGGGCAAAAGACCTGAATAGATATTTCACCAAAAAAGATATCCAAATAGTCACCAAACACATGAAAAGGTGTTCAGTGTCATTAGCCATCAGAGAGATGGAAATCAAAACCACAGTGAGATACCGTTTACCTCCCACTAAAATGACTGCTAACCAGAAGGTTGGCAGTTCAAACCCACCAGCTGCTCTGCAGAAAGAAGACAGGGTAATCTAATTCCATAAAGATTTACCACCTTGGAAACCCAGTGGGGGTAGCTGAGTCGGAATCGACTCAATGGCAGTGAGTTTGTTTGTTTGTTTGTTTTGTTTTAGAGTGGCTAAGAAAAGAAATGGAAAATAACAAATGTTGATGAGGATGTGAGGAAATTGGGGCCTTTATTCGTTACTGGTGGGAATGCAAAATGGTACACCATTGTGGATAACAATTGTGATAGTTTATCAAAAATCTAAAAGTAAAACCATAAGACCCAGCAATCCCACTGCTAAGAATACATCCAAGAGACTTGAAGGCAACCTACATTTGATAAGTTTTTTTCTTTTTTTTTAATCAAAGAAATGAAAACCTTTCATTTTTAATCTTCTGGTGTTTTAATTACAGTATACTAAATACATGCTAGTTTTACTATTTCTTCACTTATCTATTCATTTATAGACAAAAATAAGAGTTTCTAATGTTTTGACAAAATGTTTAAAGGTCACAAAATAATAATTTTTTCCATTAATTACTAAGATCACTTTTTATGGTTTCAGAATATGCCATCATTTTATAGTGCCATACAATGCAAAGTGGGACTGCCTGTACTTTCAGGCCTCTTATGCAAATAAATTTGAAAACACGTATAAAAATGGATACTTTTGTATGGAAATAGAGATTACCAAAATAGATCTTATTGGAAGTAGAAAGTTTAAATAGACCAATTCCATAGAAGAAATAGTGAAAAATGTAAGGAACTCCACAAAAATAGTACCAGATCCTGATGCTTTTACAGAAAATGGATAGTCCAGATAATTCTCAAATTATTGTGGAGCATAGGAGACAAAGGAAAATGTCATGATTGTTTTTATGATACATGCATAACACTGATACCTAAGCCTGGTAAATACAGTACTGAAAAAAGAGAAGAAAACTATGTATTAATATCACTCATTAATTTTATGTAAAAATATTATTAAATATTAGGAAACAGTGTACAATATCACATTAAAAAATACTACACTATGACCAAGTGGCATTCATTCCAGAAATACAGATTATTTCAATATTAGGGAATCTATTATGTAGCATATTGATATAGTTAAGAGGAAAAAGTCTACAATTATCTCCATAAACATTGAAGAAGCCTTTAATAAATTTCACACACATTCATGATGATAAGCATTCAAGAAAATGGGAACAATGAGATACTCTCTTAACATTATAAAATATATCATCAAGACCTTAGTTATAAACCCCGTATCTTCTTTAAGTGGGAAACACTAGAGGCGTTTCCTCTCATTTCAGTAAGAAGAGAGAGATGGCCTACTATCGCTGCTGCTGTTCAGTATATTAGTAGATATGTAAGCCAATGCAATTAAACAAGAAACATAAGATTAGGTAAGGAAGATGTAAAACTTTATTTGCAGATTATATGATAATATATCTGGAAAATCCCAGACAATGATAAAACTAATTTAAGCAATAAAAGAATTCAGTAAGGTAATAGAATATGAAGTTAATGTACAAAATGTAGAAGGAGTAGGAACATGAAAATCACCATTAGGATACCACAGTAATAATTGTTATAGGCATGTAACAGTTTTACCATCCATTTTACCAATGGATGCTAAAATTAGTCCATGAAAGTTTGAGAAGAATGAGAATTTTTATAGTTCTTAAAGTATCTCCCACAAGATATTTATTAATTGCAAAAGGAAATATAGTAACTGTAAAGTAGAGAAACTCAGCAAGACACTAACCTTGATATGGAATAAGAAGGGCACAGGATTCTGTAGTAGTCTTAACAAAATGCATAAGCTCAATTAATCTATTTATGAGAAAACAGACCCAAATTGGAGGGACACTCTACAAAATACCTGAGCAATACTCTTCAAAAATGTTAAGATCCTTGAAAACATTATGCTGAATGAAATAAGTCAGACATAAAAATAATTCATGATCCCATTTATATGTAATATCTAGAATATGTCAATGCATAGAGACTAAAATTTACTAATGATTACCAAGGGTGGGTTAGAGAGAAAAGAAGTTACTGCTTAAAAGACAGTGAGTTTCTGTTAAGGGTGATGGAAAAATGTGGAAATGGATAGTGGTGATGGTTGCACTGCATGAATTGTACACACAAAATGGTTGAAGTGTCAAATGTTTTGTTAGTATTTTTACCACAATAAATTTTTTAATTTGTTAATACATAAATCTTGTCATGAAAGACAATGGAAGATTGAGAAACTTTCACAGATTAGAGGAGACTAAGGAAACATGACAACAATATGCAATGTGGGATCCTTGATTTAATTCTGTAACAGAAAAAGGACAGTAGGGGGAGAGCACTTAAAATTTGAATAAGGTCTATACATTAGTTAATAGTATTATAGCAATGTTAATATCCTGATTTAGGCCATTATACTCTGGTTATATAAGATGTTAACACTCAAAGAAACTAAATGAAGACTGTATGAAAACTTGCTGTACTATTTTTGTAACTTCTGTTAGTCTGAATTTTTTTCTAAATAAACAAAAATAATGTGATGGCTACATGAACAACTATAAATTATGAGTGGATACTTATTGTTTCGTTTAATAGAGTTAAGGTTAGTTTTTTTATGCAAACTGTTTCACAGTAACCTATATTATTCATTTAAATCCAAAGACCCCAAGAAAACCTGTTTATGATGTTAAAGATGTTTCTCTTGCTGGAAATGGAGAATGGGTAGGGATGGTCTTTTTCAAAGAACATTAAGTGGTGCTAGTCTCATAGTGATGGTCTTCTCAAGGTGTGTGCAATGTCTTCCTAGGTATTCCGGAAGGACCTCATCAGTGCCATGAAAATTCCGGATTCTCACCACATTAGCCCTGACAACTATTACCTCTTTACGGACACATGGAAGGAAGAATGGGAGAAGGGAGTCCAGGTGCCAGCCAGTCCAGATAATATTCCACAGCCTTCCGTCAGGTATTTACATGGTTTTACCTTTGACTTAGGGAGTGAATAGTCTCATGGTTATTTGTTTGTTGCATGGGAAGAAACTTTGAGTCTTTTAATTATACACTTAGTATATAAATTCACATACCATGTTCACGTAGACCAATGGCAGATTATACTAGATTAGGATAGATCAGTCCACTAACCCTATGTACGTTTGTTGTACTTTGTGGTTTGTACAGAGACTTGCTTTGATCCTGTAAGCTATGCTACCAGCATTTTTAAATGCCAGCAGAGTTACCCATGGTGGAAAGGTTTCAATGGAGTTTCCAGACTAAGACAGACTAAAAACAAAAGCATGGTGATCTACTTCTGAAAATTAGCCTATGAAAAAGCCTATGGACCACAACAGAATATTCTATGATATATTAATGAAAGATGAGCCTGCTAGTTTAGAAAACACTCAAAATACTAGCCAAGGGTAACTACAGTGAGCACTGCAGTTGAAAAGACTGGGTATTTTAAACACAAAGCTGGCCCACCATAAAATACCTGAGTTAGTAACATCAGTATCAGTATCAAACCAAACCAAACCAAACCCGTTGGTGTCGAATCAATTCTGAATGATAGCAACCCTATAGGACAGAGGAGTAGAACTGCCTTACTGGGTTTTCAAGGCTGTAAATCTTTTTACAGAAATAAACTGCCACATCTTTCTCACACAGAGTGGCTGGTGAGCTCAAACTGCCAACCTTTTGGTTAGCAGCTGTTCTGGTTACTTAGTGCCGCTCTGACAAGAATATGCCACAAATGGAATGCTTGAACAAACAAGAGTTTATTCTCCTTTTATAGTTGGGAGACTACGTCCGAGTTCAAAGTGCCAGACTCTAGAGGCTGGATGAAAGCCTTAGGCTTCAGCTCTGTCTCCTGATCCCGGTCCACTGGAGCTAGAGGCTTTTCTTCACTCAGACAGCTACAAGCTGCTGAGACTGACAAGCTCAAGGTTGACAAGTAAAAAGGCGTAGTCCCCAATGTTACCAAACCACTTGGCAGGCCATTAATTCAAGTCCATTGAAAGTCCCAAGGTTGGCAAAGTGTGACAGGCTGCTGAACAACAACACGGCTACATGCAGGGTTCAAGCATGCCATAAACTAATGACCATTCTCAAAGGTGTTTCTTATATACAGGAAGCAAACCACATACCCAAAGGTAGCTATTCAGCTGCTCACAGTAGGTTCCACCATGGGGTTGATTCCCATCATGGGGAATACTACATCCAGCTGCCCACCACTCAACCAGGCCTAGCCAAGTTGACACATAAACTTAACCACCACAGAAACCAAGTGCTTAATCACTGTACCACCAATGCTATCACATTTGATTTGGTTTGAGCAAGTTCCTACATGATGCTGATGCTACTAGTCCAGGGACAGTACTTTGAGAATAATTGGTATGGAATATTTTTATCTCACTTTCTGACCTTAGATTTAGATTTCTGATAATCTTCATACTTTTGACAAGCTACTTGGATTTCCTTTTGGCTTTCAGTATGGATCCATCATGTTGGAGGCGCAAAGATTCAGCATTGAAGCTTTATGTTTTAGAATACCTAGTCTCTTCAACTGCAGATGGTCACTGAAGCTACCCTTGGCTATCATCATTTTGCAGGGGTTAAACTGTGTCTTAAGAGTTTTACTGTCTTGGAAGACAATGAGAGGAATACAGGAGTTAAAGGCAACAGATGTAAATGCTAATTCATACACAGTCCTGCGATAACAGTAATAGCAATAATCAGTAATGTAAGAGTTGATACATAGAGAGACACACAAGCTGAACAGATATGGGAAAGAAAATGGGACTATAACACAAAATATGTATAGTTTTGACAGAGAATATCTCTATATATGTATTTACCTATGCTGCAAATAAATTCATGGAGATCGTAGAGCATGCAGGGGGCAAAGTTATGAAAACTACTTGCCATAACCAAAAACCCTGAGGGAGCAAGTCTCTGGGCTTGGGACTCAGGACCATAGTCTCAGGTGACATCAAGGTCAATTGGCACAACATAGTCCCCAAGGACAATGTTCTACATCCTACCTTGGTGAGAAGCAACTGGGGTCTTCAAAGCTTGTGAGCAGCCATATAAAGTACACCTATTAGTTTCTCCTGGTTTGGAGCAAAGCCAAGTGAAGAAAATAAAAGACACTTGGAAACAATTAGTTCAAAGGAGTAATGGACCACACAAACCTTAAACTCCATGATTCTGAGATCATGGATCATGATGCTAGATGGTACCCAGCTACCACTACCAACTGCTCTGAAAGGGATCACATTAGAAGGTCCTGAGTAGAGTGGGAGAAAAATTTGGACAAAAGTCAAAATTACAACGAAGACCAGGCATACTGGTTAGATAGAGACTGTTGGAACCCCTGAGACTGTGGTCACTTTTTGGACCTGGAACTGAATGAACCCACTCCTATAGCTGAATTTTCAGTCAAACAGTAGACAGGTCTACAAGGTGAACAGTAACTTTAGGAAGGTAGAAACTCCTTAGAGCAATCAACCATTAAAGATCAAAAAGGTAGCATTTGCCCAAGGACAAAGTTCAGAAGGCAGAAAGAGTTAGGAGAGAAGGATGAATGGAAAGATGAAACACAGGGAAGATGTGGAAGGAGTCATGTTACGTTGAGGCAATTTCAATCAATGACATGAATCAAAAGTGTTAATTGTTGAATGGAATACGGATTTGCTCTGTACACTATTACCCAAATCATAATAAAAAGGTATTTTTTTTAATTTACTTTCTTGATTTTGTAGATTATCTTAAAAGTTAAATCTTTGTGATTGGAAGTGACATTGGAACATCGATGAAGAATTAGATGTTATGTCCTTAATTAAATTCCAAAATCAAATGAGTTCAATTGATACCTTTAGGTACTGTATAAATTTAGGCTTTCCTATTTGCCATCCATATTTCCTCTTTGCTGAAATACCTGCTCATGTATTTTGCCCATTTTCTAATTGAATTGTTTGCTTTTTTTTTCCTTTTGCTATTTTGAGAATTGAGAATTTTTCATATATTGGAGACAACAAGTCCTCTGCCAAATATGTTGTTTGTGTATATTTTCTCCTTATCTGTGGATTGTCTTTTCATCCTCTCAACATAGTCTTTCACCAAGTAAAATTTATAATTTCGATGAAGTTCAATGTATTAATTATTTTTTCTTTTGGATTGTGCTTTTAGTGTCATGTCTACAAACTCTTCACTAGACCTAGGTCCCAAAGATTTTTTCCTATGTTTCCTTCTAAAAGTTTTATAGTTTTATATTTAAATGCATGGTTCATTTTGCATTTTTGTATAAGATGTGAGGTTTTGGGTGAGGTTCACATTTGGGTAGGGTGAGTCCTCTACTTTATTCATTTTCAAAATTGCTGTAGCTATTCTAGTTCCTTTATCTCTCCATATGAACTGTATGATAAGCTTGTCTATGACTACAGAAATCTTGCTGGCATTTTCATAAGGATTGCATTATACTTATATGTCACTTTGAGGAGAACTGACATACTTGCTATGCTATGTTAAGTCTTGCAATCTATGAATATGGTATGTCTCTCTATTGAGATCGTTGTTTGTTTTTTACGTAAAAAGGGGTTTTATTGGTTCAGATAACTGGGAAGTTTAAAGGTGGAGCTAAGCTGTTGTTGTTGTTAAGGGCCGTCGAGTCATTTCCGACTCATAGCGACCCCATGCACAGCAGAACGAAACACTGCCCGATCCCGCGCCAGCCCCACAATCCCTGCTATACTTGA